GGTTCATCCCGCCGTGGCCATAACGCTGAGCATAACTGGCTCCTTCGCTTCTTGGTTGGCTTTGTCGTACTACGATCTCTAGCCTCTATCCACGTCCCTAGCACATGATCATCGGGCTTTACCTCTTTTGCGCGCTTGTTTATCCTAGCCTTGTGCCGATTTATTTTGGGTTAGAGTGAATATTTTACTTTGCAATGCTATATAATGTTAATTTGAATTTTGTTAATTTGAGTACTCTAACGCTTTGTTTATCAATTTGTAACAGGATGGCCCATCCCACGCAGCACCCGTTGTACCCCATTCTTGAGGTGGAGTACGACGACCAGCACCGAGCACACATCTTGAGTGACAACGACGCAGAGGTGGCCTTGCCTCCTTTGAGGCCCCGCACGCACACCAGGGCGCACCAGTGGGACGAGCATTACGCGCCGTACATACGGCGTGCCGGCTTCCTCGAGCTTGTCCGTGTTGTCAACCACGGTCTTCCGCCCCCTTGACCCAGCACTACTTATTGCAGCTGTAGACAGGTGCGAGTGCATTCTTTGTACTTTAACTTTCTTGTAACAAATCATTCTTTGTATGTAAACTTTCTTGTAACAAATTTGAGGCAATTAACAGTCATTTTATTCTTATAACAGGTGGAGGCCTAAGACCCACACGTTCCACCTACCTTGTGGCGAGATGACCTTGACGTTGCACGACATGAAGGCTATTTTAGGTCTTCGGTTGGGGGGACTTTTAGTGATAGGGATAGTTGACAACGATCACTGGAGGGAGCTGGTGGCTCAGTTTACTGGTTTTCTTCCACCGGACGACGAGGCTTCCAAGAAAAATAAGTGAGAAATTCAAGCCTATTTAATATTTGCATGGCTTTCCCACAGCTATCGGGTCTTATTTTCTTTGTTAAATTTCAGGAAAACTTCTAGTGTTTCGTCGTCCTGGATCATGGAGCGCTTTGATTACTTGGACCCACAGGCTGAGGAGGCTCAGATCGACAGGTTCGCTCGAGTGTGGCTCTGGCACTTTCTTGGTGCTTTCCTCTTTCTAGACGCCTCGGGCAACACCATCAGCTGGATCTTCCTTGACATACTACGCCAGCCGTGGAAGAACATAGCGGCGTACAGCTAGGGCAGCGCTGTCCTGGCATGGACGTATCGACAGCTATGCGTTGCCTGCCATCGCACCTCAGGGTATGCAAACCTTGGAGGTTGCTCATACCTACTCCAGGTTTGGTGTTGGGAACGATGGCCCGTTGGGAGGCCCCTTAATATGGGTTTACCGGTAAGTACTTGGGTTCATTATATTCTTCGATATGGTTACATATGATGAGTTTATTAATGGCTAATTCATTATCGTGTTCAATGCAGCAATGGAACGGGTAGGATACACTCCCTACAGCTCTGTTTATCTGGATGGAATCAGAGTTAGTTAGAGGGAATGTGAGGCGCAAGTACAGGGAGTACACGGACGGTCTCGACGTCCTGACACAGCACCAGGTTACGCTCTTTTTACTATCATACCTGTGTGTTGTTCGATCTACACTTTATCACAACCTAACTCAATTACGAAATGTTCAGGTGCATTGGTGTCATTGGGATGCTCCGGACTTACAGAACTATCTCAGTCCTGTCACTAGGGACGAGTCAGAGGAGTATCGCTGCAACGTCCCTCTTATTTTCTTTCACGTAGTCGATATTCACTTGCCCGTCAGGGTCTGCAGACATTTTGGAAGAATGACAAGCTGCCCACCACCGCTTTACTCCACCAACCAAGGATTGCATGGGTGCGTTATTGATTAATAACAGAGCTACAATCCAGAGGTGTGTGTGGTAGAATTAACATCGTTTTGTTGCAGGTATGACCGTAGGAAGAGGTACAAGACCAAGGATTGGCGCGTGACACACAGCGTGCACATCCACTTGTGGGAGACCAGGGAATGGCAGCCGGTCCATGCGGGTTTTCCACACGACCAACACACCTTCGACGAGTACCTGCACTGGCTTCACAGGTCTACGAGGACACATATCAAGCCCCCATACACTGAGGAGGCGATTGACGAGGACTCGGAGGAAGATATAATCGAAGATGTGTACGATGTTGCCACTAGAGAGGACACACAGCTATAGAGAGCCCCGCTACAAAGATACGTGGTAAGATACTTGAATGGTACAATTTGTTATCCATTTGATATTAATTATGTATACTAAAACTATTCAACCGCGTTTCTGAACCCAGGCGACATAATTGTCGAGGCTGTCCAACGAAGCAGCGTACCGGCTTCATGAGTCTAGAGGGCAGGGGCCAGGTGTTCTCGAGGCTTTTGTGGAGGTAAACATAAACTAGTCCATTCCGAAATTGTTTCTTTAGTGTATATGCGTTTGTGAAATGCGCTAACTTTAATGTCTATTTTTGCAGAAGGTGAAGAAGAGCTGCATGAAGCTAGCTCAAAAGTTGAGCTGCATGGACACTCCTTATGAGGAATCGCCACTCCCAGCGCGGTCGGGTGGTACGTCTTCAGCCTCTTTGAGGACGCCAGCCGGTGACAGGTGCCACTTCCGTAGTGCGTACACCACCATATTATAGCGCTAGGAAGGACCCTGTAATCGAGGACGATGAGGACGACGATGATGACGACGACGAGTGGGAAGATTGGCCGCAGGACGAGATCGGCATGTCTCAGCTAGGTGGTGCCCCGTTTGGCACCCAAGGAGCATCACAGGTACTAACAAAGGTAGTTTCTTTAAATACGTAGGCTACATGAACTAACGATCACAAAGAATTCTAAGTAATCGTGCATATCACATACTTGCAGGGTACAAGCCATACGCACCGACGACGCGACCACACCGACGTTGGCTAGACTCTCAATGTGTTGCCAACAAATCCAAAGAGACAGAGGCGTCCGAGGAATCCTTACACTCCTAGGTCTTAGTTTGTTAGGTCAAACTATTATTGGGGTCCAAAACTTGCAGGCTTATTTGATTATGTTATGTCGAACTTAAGTCAACTTATGTGGCAGGCTTATTCGTTTCAATGTGTTGCGACATCACTGCTTGCGAGATTAGGTAGAAACTAGTTCAAAAAACGGCAGTCCCGGGGTATCTCGACACCGGTGGCCGGCGTCTTATGTGAGGGGTCAAGGAAGCCGGGGTCCATGGTCGCGTAACCGCCGATCCTACAATATGGGGCAAAAAAGCCAAATAAATAAGTTCCCTTAAAAAATATTCGTTTCAATCTGATCCAATTTTTCATAATCGATTAGTTAACATGATGGTTAACCGTATTATGAAAGACGAAAAAATATCAATTGCTTTATCAATTTCTCTATTCGGCCTTGAAAATTTTTAACAAAATATAGAAATAAATTCACTATTCATTTTACGTCAAACAATACTTACAATAACTCCCACCATCGGCGTGACGCGTTCTGATTAAACCATCCATGTACCGCCGGGTTGGCGGCGGGCGCGGCGGGCAGGCTTGCTGCTCGGGCTGGCATGACTGGCCGCGGGGTTTTATTTGCCCCAGACGCGCCATGATGACCGGGCGGCGCTGGCGGTCTTTGCATCAAGATCGGTGGCGTGGCGGCCCGCCCCCAATCAGCGATCAGCGCTCCCAATCGCCGCCACGTCATTCTGCGTGCCGCGCCACCATACATGGCGGCAAGACAGGTGATAACTTGCGCGAGAGTAATAAGCGCGACCAAAAGTATTAGTTTAAAAAAAATCGGAGGTGTTAGATTTAAAATTAGTTTTCAAAAAGTGTTAAAATTAAAAAAAATCCAAACTTGCTACTGAATAAAACAAATGTGTTTTCTGAAAAAAAAATACAATAGATGTGATTTCTCATAAAGCTAGAACAGGTACATGCTTGCAGCTCACTTACATACTACTTCGTTGTTGGAGTATAAATTCACTCGTTTTTGACATATGTGATAGGGAGAGACAAACCCAGGAAGTTATAAAAGTTTCCGTTGCTTACTCTGTGCTTCACTGTTGTTTTAAGCATTCTTTAATTAGGTATAAAGGCATTCCTTAATTCAATGTCGTCTCTGCCTACAACAAGAAATTATTATATTTGGAAGCAAGAGAAATTTTATTGTTGTATTTACGTGTATGTATGTAGAAGTAGAAATACTATGTTAAAAACTGAAAACCCCGCTAGAAGCACACAACGCATACAGAAGATGTTATCATGTTCGAAAAGCTCGACGCATGGCGACCGTCGGACTGACGATGACGACATCAAATCTGAGCAGCACCAGCACCAGCACGATCGCCTGGCTCGTCGCCCCATCTGGACGGGCAGAAGGTGATGACGTACTCCTGCGCGTATGTTGCAATGGGTTATACACATATGTTTCAAGTATATGTTTTAAATGTTTTATCTGTTTTAGACGTATGCTGAAATTGTTTTATTTGATGTTGTAAAACTAGATCGGAATGTTGCATATATATGCAAGTGTTTTATGTGTTTTTCATACGTATGTTGGTGTTTTATCTTGATGTTTGCATATATTTGCAATGGCTACACACGAGTTTTCAAGTTTTTTCTGGTATTTTGTAAGTGTTTCAAACGTATGTTGCAAATGTTTCAGCTATTTTGGACGTACGTTGCAAGTGTTTCATCTAGATATTGTAAAAGTAAATCGGATGTTGCACATATTACAATGCACGTGAGAAGTGGAGGGGGCATGAGCAGTCCCTGCGCACGGGCATCATCTGGGCGGTGTAGGCCCTACGTGGGTGCGTGAAATATAGGCTCAAGCGGGGTGTGCTGGCCCGAGGGCGGAAAACAGAGTACAGCGCGGATGAACGCCGGACGTCCGGACGCTAGCACAGCTCAACTATTATAGTCGGAAGCAAGAGAAATTTTATTGTTGTATTTACGTATATGTATGTAGAAATACTAGTGAAAACCCCGCTAGAAGCACATAACGCATACAGAAGATGTGCGAAAAGGTCGACGCATGGCGACCGTCGGACTGACGATTGACGACATCAAATCTGAGCAGCACCAGCACCAGCACGATCACCTGGCTCGTCGCCCCATCTGGACGGGCAGAAAGTGATGACGTACTCCTGCGCGTAGCACCCGCTCGCCGTTGCGGCGGTGGTGTCGTACGCGTAGCTGTAGTATGCCGGGCAGGCGTCCTTGAAGAGGCGCGAGTACACGGTGCCTCGGCACGTCGCCGGCGTCGCGTACGCGCCGCGGCAGCAGAAGGCGTCGAGCCCGAACGCGAGGCACGCGCTCTTGCACGCCACCACCGTCTTGCCGCCGCCGCTGCCGGTAGCGGTCACCTGCAGCTCCGGCGGGCACACCGCGTTCACGTTCTTGGCGCAGCCGGCGATGGCGCACTTGTTCGGGTCGGCGCCGCCCGTGCCGGGCTTGGCGGAGACGGCCACGGGGAGGTTGTACCCGTCCACCAGGCTCACGTCGTAGGAGCTCCCCTTGGCGGGGTCCTCGTGCAGGCTCACCTCGACGAGCGTGGCGGGCGGGGCGCCCACGGACCCGTTGCAGGCGAGCCGGCCCTCGCAGTCGCCGGTGAGGCAGCCCGCGGCGCCCATGCCGTTCGCGGTGAAGTTGCACCCGGTGCGGGCCCAGAAGCGGCCGTTCCAGGTGGCCGGCGCGACGACGTGCCTCGACTTGCCCGGAGGGACGTAGAAGCCGCCGCCCGCGAGCACCGGGTGCCCGGTGTTGGGGGCGGACGCCGGCCACACCGGGAACGGGCATTTGTTCGCCACGTGGAAGACGATGGCGTCGGCCAGCACCATGGGTCCTGCAGCCACAAAACTAACGAGAGCCATGAGCGCACAGGAGAGGAGCGGATGACGAGCGGCACCGGAGGTCGTCCACGCCGAGTAGTGATCCGCCATCTCTTAGCCTCGGTCGTCTTGATGTTGCTGCGGGGAAGCCCGCGAGATATGACGACGACGGGGCGGAGATTTATACGTGAAGAGTGCCAAACAGGCTTCTTTTCTTTGTCTTAACGAAGGCCCAAGCTTTAGGCTTAGGATGGGTTTTGTCAGTGTGACTTGCATCGCAATGGAAGCAAAGGCAGCCATGATTGGAGAAAGAGAACGGTGGAGCGAGGTGATGAGGCCGGCCATCAGGCGGCCACAGATTAACGACACGCGTTCAATAAAGTACAACATGGTTCAGGAACTGTCAGCGCTCTTTGTTACCACAGTTGTCGGGCCGAGAACCGGAAGCCTGCAGGCTGTTGGCCAGTTCGAGAGCCACTGTCACAACCGATTTTAAAAGCAAGATTGAATGCAAACTATGACCTTGTTTGTTTTGCTGAAAAATCATGGCCAGAAGTATTGTTCGCTGATTTATTGTGAGAGAAAATATTATTGATTCGTTGAAATAGTACGGCTCATAAGATAATCGATCAGGGCCTATATTTATGTCAGGATCAATTTTCATACCATAGCGACATCATCGGTGTGTAACAAAACCATATTTATTACATAATAAGCGGTAACTTTAAATACGAAAGAGACACGAAGGTCTTACAAAAGCACAAGCGGAACGTCTAAACTCATAGCTGAACTCCACTACATAGGAGGTCGATTGAGGGCTCCGTACGCAAAACACTTCTGAAAACTTGACAGCATCTTCATCGATATTCTGAGCAGCTTTTACTAAAGATTGGGGCTGTGTCGTAAGTGCAAGAAAATATGACATGCAAGCTAGGCTGATAACAAGGTAAAGCTGACACAGGATTATTGTAGGTTAGCATTTTTAATTGGCAAAATTTTATTAGAACAACCTGAATTACTAAATTACTAAAGTGAGTAAAAGAGCCCAAACCATTAATTAGATTGCATAAAGACATCATCATAAATAACCATTTTTCAACAAGATCCATTTCTAATCATGTGAGGGTCCAGGCCGCTCATAGCCTTGAGCATGGCTGTTATAATAGTTTGATCAAACTCTGTAGAGCTGTACAACTTTACCCCAAAGAAGTGATTCCCTTTTGCCCGGGGTAGGTAGCCTCTTGACCCACTTCCAAGGTAAGTCGGCAGGGTTTCAATATGAGACTTTTCACAGTTTCTACTAGTAGGCAACAACCCGCTGACGTTAATACTGATTTGTTGTGAGAGAAAAACAATGTTCTATGATTGAAAAGTAGTGCTGATAAGTTCAAGCGAACAGGGTGCTAGATGCATGGTTAGTCGTACCCGTAGGTAGCCCAAGTAATAGACCGAAGCCTCCAAAGCGAGAGACCCGAACTATCATACTTAATAACTAGACCCCCCTTTTGTGCCTACCTACCCGGTAAGATGTCACACTACTAGCAGAAGGTCTGCTACTACGCTAAGTCAGAGCCATATAGCTTGGGGTTGCACGGTAAATCCTGGTCATGGCTTGGGATTTAGCATGAATAAACTAATTTTGTTTAGTTTATTATATATATGGTTTAGCAAGACATGGGTTTGGATTACCACCACCTAAACGCATAAAGGGACCATTATTTTATTTATTAACATTGTCTAGGACAGCAACCATCAGAGTGACCATTTGATTTTATTTTATCTCTGCAAAATTAAATTGGCACTTTTCTGGTTATCTTGTACAAGTGGTTTGACCATGCTGCCTCTCGTCCAAGACGGAGAGGCTAGTTTGCACTTCTGTGAGAGGGATGCACATACACCTAGACACAGGACATGATATGCAGAGCTTTCTTTTTTGTTTATCAATTGATTATGACATAAACCATTGTCACAGATCATGGCCGGGCAACATGCAGATGTCGATTGGCTTTGCATGGTAGCCGGTGATCTTGGCAGGGGTGTAGCATGCTTTTTCGTGGGCGCCATTTAATTAAATGCAAGATTGATTTGGCCTACTAGTCTATCCTCTGTCACTAGCATGAAACTTCCTTTGTTTTGATTGCACTAGAATTTATATAGTGCAGCAGATAGATGAGACAAGTGTTGATGACCCATGCAACGCTAACTAAATTAGCAACAACGACATGAATGAATATATGCAGTGCATGATCACTTTTTCTTTTGACGTCATGCACCATTTTTTTATTTCGAGAGTGCTTAGTGTTGAATAATTAGGCAATTTCCTGATTAATTTCTAGATTAATAACAGAATACAAATCATGACAATCTCATAAGCTAGCATGCAGATCTCTAACATACTAGTTAAATCAGGCAGCATTAATAGCAATATAGCTGGCAATATAGCTAAGATCATCATGATGAACACAGTAGATGAACGACAATAATAGATTGGTCACGTGGTGTGTAGCTTTTGTTTGCAGAAGAAAATAGTGTCGCTGGTGAAGATGATGTAGAGGGAGACGCTACTGGTGGTGGTACTAAGTCATCGATGAGTAGTGAAGGAAGAGCTCGGAGCAGCTGACGACAAATACGCCGGGACGTAGCGCCACCTGACTTGGATGGAAGACGACCCGTCGTGAAAGTCAGGAGCAGTCGCGCGACAAGTGCTTCCTAAAAACCTTATTCGTCCTCTCCCGGTGTAGGATCACAAGGACGAGGGTTCTGGAGACCTGCTCTCCCAAACGTAGGTGCACGCAGACGCCGAGATGGAGAGACTACGGCGGCGGCGCAGCAGCCAGAAGAGGAAAATACTAATTTATTACCTTTGAATTTTCCAAACTAGAACTCCCAATAGTAATTTTTGGTGTCTTTTCCTAGGAGGATTGGTACATTTATATAGGGATGAGAACCCCCTACCTCCACATCAACTACCAATATGATACTAATTGATGTTGTGCCTCCCACCTCTACTCATGGGCTTAAACATTAAAGCCCATTAGGGACATAAGTATTGGGCCTTTGAGATTTATTAGAATTTCTTCATATGGATATAGGGGAACTATCCATATAAATTCTAACAATCCTCCACTAGATCTTAACTGCCTAGTATAGATATTTTCCTTCTCCCACTATTGTTTATATACTAGTGTTTTAGCAGAGACTGATAAGTTGAACATTTGCCTAGAGCTTTAAGTTACACCCATCCACAACTTGAACAATGGACTATGCCTTAAATTGCAAGTTTTGTGCGAACTAGTTTTACTCAAAGTCAAACTAGTACCTGGCCGCCAGTTTGTAACAACCCAGTGTTAAGCTTTGCATTTGGCACTGTGCATTTCATGAGCACAAGCATCATCCAAGCATTCATGAACAAGAGCATATGAAATTTCATCTCATTCTTATACCTTATCACATGAAATGTTGATTTTATATATATGCTTATGCTTGCAATCATGTATGACCAATGTATGAAATGGTTGTAAGGGCACCAATATACCTTAGACACATTTAGAATGGTGAATGGAACAACTTTTGTATTCATGACATGGACCAATTTTGCTTCTAAGTGTTGGTGTATTTTGAAATAGCATTTTCATGATACTAGTTTGACCAAAGTTGAACAATAGCTTAGAGTATTTGCATGGCTGTGTGACCTAAATAAAAGTTGTAGTTCTTGTCATGGGTAACAAACTTTATTGAAGGGTCATGAGCTGAATCAGTGCCTAACATGGTCAAAATCAGCTCCAAAGTAGCAACAAAATGCTATTTTGTGATTTAAAATTTTTCTGTGTAGAATGCTGATTTTTGTTTCCAAGTACCCGACTTTAGAGCTTTGTAGTTTCAAAACAAGTTCCAATTAGACCATGATCATTAAAGCAAAGTTGTAGTACTCACATAGCTCTACAAAATCTATTAATGAAGTTTTTGCTAAATCACAACGGATTAGGAGATTTAGGAGCTCAAAGTAGCGCTGCCAGACGGACTAAATCGGCGCCCCGCGCGCGCGTCGTGGCCGACCGATGTCGGGCCACGGCCGCCGTGTGGAGGCCGTCCACTGACGTTGGGCCCGCACGTTAGGCCAACGCGGGTAGCAAAACGGCAGCGACGCTCCCTCCCTCCTCACTCGCTCTCACTCGCCTCGCTCTGCCTCTCTCTCGCCTTCACCGTGCCTGAGCGAAGCCGCAGCGCGTCGTGCCATTGCTGCCGAGCTCGCGTGCCACCACCGCTGCATCTCCATCCAAATCCATCATGTGCATAGCTTCGCCGTCAGCCGCTCTACCTCCCTGAGCCGCCATTGCCACCGTTCAAGCCCAGGTAATGCGACATTTTATGTCGCCATCGCCGCCATGGTCATGGAGCACCGCCGAGTTCCGAGCTCAACGTGGCCAGCCTTATCCACCACTCCTCCTACGTCTTTCTCCCTGGTTCCGTCATCGCCTTAGGTCATAGATGCACACGTCATTGTTTATTTAACCGCTACCACCACCATCATGCGGGAACGCACGACACCGCCGTGCGCGTCCGTCATGGCTACAAGCACACGCTCATCGCCGCTGACTTCACCGTCCGCCCTTAGCCCACTCTGGTACCGGTTACCGAGTGTCCTAGAGGTGTAGCACCTTCTCCGATGATGGAGACCTACCTTCAGCCGCCGTCTCGTCAGAACGGTGACACCACCGCCGTGCTCTGTGCGCCACCGTGACGCCATGCACGTGGCCGGAGCTCACCTCCGCTTCACCGTGGCTCAATCCGCACCATAGAGCTCCGCCAGGGTTCGTAGAAGTCGTAGCCATGCTTCTTTGGTCACATCTTCACCGGAGACGGTGAGTCTGCCACTGCACACCGCCGCCGAGACGCCATGCTCGCCGGCGAGGTCGCTTCGGTGATCCGCAGGGCCAACCTAGGTTACCAGTTGGTGCGCAAAAGTGAGGAGAACACGACTCCGGTGACCTCGCCGTCGACGAGTTTGCCGCAGGTCAAGCCGTGCCCCTACTCTATATCTCACTGACGTGTGGGTCCCGTTGACCCACGGGTCCCAGCTATCAGGCAGTATTTGAAATGTTTTTTCTTGA